TCATGGGCAGTCTGGGAAGTGGCTTCATGGCTGAACTGTGCCTGTTCTCAGCTAATGCGCATTTTATTCCATGTACTAGTCATAGATAAGACACCACTTCCCCTGAAGAAATGTTAACAGCAAGAGATTTGTGTCCTGTGGCCACTGCGGAGTCCCAAATAGAAGACTAAAGACAAAGAAAAGCTAGGAGGACGCCCAGAGGAGGGGCCTTAGTCTGCCCTTGGGCAGGGAGCGGGCAGTTGTAAACGCCCTGGTGGGCACAGGAGCCTGTGTCAGGACTCCCTGGCATCTGCTCACAGACACACAGGGCCTAGGCCTGGGCAGCAGGGGGTGCTGTGGGCCTGACACTGAGGGGTGTGTGGGGCTCAGCTGGGAAACCAGACATGTGAACCTGGGCTCTGCTCAGAGCTCACCGGGCCTAGAAGCTGGATCCTCTCTGAGCCCCTGGGGAGCCTCAGGCCAAGCTTAACACAGACACACCTGTCCAAGAATGACACCCAGTCACTGGGGCTGCCCACAGGCCAGGGGGGTTTGGAGGGCAGGGGAGGAGCAGCACATTTGCATGCGGGGCCCCTCTCCCTCCTCTGGGCCTGGAGGGTGGATAAGGGACACCTGCAGCCTGTCACCCTCAGCAGAGCTCTGGGGTGTCTGCACCATGGCCTGGGCCCCGCTCCTCCTCCTCACCCTCCTCCTGCACTGCACAGGTCAGGACGGCCCCCAGCATCCTGACCCCCAGCTCACTGACACCACCTCCCAACCCATGCCACACTGTCCTTCCCTCTTGTCCTTCCTCCAGGACATAATGCGTGTCTGTGTTTCCAGGGTCCCTGTCCCAGCCTGTGCTGACTCAGCCGCCCTCTGCATCTGCCTCCCCGGGAGCCTCGGCCAAGCTCACCTGCACCCTGAGCAGTGCGCACAGCAGCTACACCATTGCGTGGCATCAGCAGCAGCCAGGGAAGGCCCCTCGGTACTTGATGTGGGTTAACAGTGCTGGAAGCCACAGCAAGGGGGACGGGATCCCCGATCGCTTCTCTGGCTCCAGCTCCGGGGCTGACCGCTACTTGACCATCTCCAACATCCAGCCTGAGGACGAGGCTGACTATTACTGTCAGACCTGGGACAGTGGTATTAATCACAGTGACACAGACAGATGAGGAAGTGGGACAAAAACCTCACCCTGCACAGGGCCTTATTCTACGACAATATTCAAATTTAAAGACATGTTCCATGTACACAAACACTACTTTGAAGCACCTCTGCTTTAAAATGTTTCCACTCTCATCTTTGTATTCAGTGTTTCTGAAGTCTCAAGAAAACTACAACCAATAACAAAAAACCCGGATGACACTGAATTGTTGCCTGTTGATCCAAATATGCTAAGACCAATGCCCCTATGCGTTTTGTTTTTTTTTTTCTTTTTCTTGAAGGTGGAAATATGAGCCTCTCCCGCTCACATCTTGATCAGTGCCAGGGACCATCCCAGCAGGTGGCCGGTCCTGCAGCAGGGACTGTGCTCTTCCAGTTGTCACAGCAAACATACCCTCTTCCCTCCCCAGTCACCTGTACTCGGGGCTCCCTGGGCTTCCTACAGCCCGGGAACTAGGTGGATCCCTGTGAAATGCTGCCTGAGGACACAGCTCAGGGCCAATTTCAGGCACAGAGCTGGCCTGGCTCACTCTGTGTGCCCCCTCCTCTGCGGAGGAGTCGGAGGGCTGATTTGGGGCTCCAGTGGTAACAGTGGTGCACAATGAAGTGGCCATTGCCCTTTGTGACCCTAAGAGGGAGGACACATGGGGCCTAGAGCCATGTGAAAGAAGAGACCTGCCAGGACCTTGGCCCTGGAGCTGAAGTGGGCCTGGGCCTGTCCCTGAGTGTCCCTGGAGAAGATCACATGACATCCACGGTCAGTGTGCTCTGTCCATGGCTCCCTGTCCCACCTGCTGTCCCACCCACTGCCTCTGAGGTGTGCAGGTCACGCCCTTCCCAGTGATCTCTCTCCCAGCACCAGCTCCCAGGAGCAGGTCACACCCTGCCCACAGTGGGGCTCGCACAGCCCAGTGGAGAAGCAAAGATGTGAAGAAGGGACATTTCTGCCCAGGGCGTGGGTGGGTGGGGAGATGTGGGCATTGGGGCTCCACTAGAGTTGTTGGAGAGCAGAGCTCAGAGGTGCTCCCCACACCTGGACTCCTCCCTTCCCCTTCTCCCTCCCTCTGCTCACTGAGGCTCAGGCCAGGTGAGGACTCAGGGCTGCCCAAGGGCCCTGCACAGCCCAGGGCCTCCGTCCCAGGCTCTGTCCCCACAGTCTGTAGGGCTGTCTCTGAGATGGCAGGAGCATTTGCTCCACGTGCCCACAGCGTCATTACAGGATGCCGGTCCCCACTTAAAAGGTGCCCATCAACGCTCAGAGCCCAAGGAGGACGGAGAAGGATCAGGACCCAGGAGGCTCCCGCCAAAGCACTCAGCTGCCTCCTCTCCCTCAAAATTACACTCAGTGTCTGTGACACTGTACAATTTATGTCTGGGATTGGCAAATATTGAGTATTGATATTCTTTTTCTCATTCCGCAATGTAGGTCAGCAAGAGGCTGAGAGGAAGAGGGGGTCCCAGAGGGAGAGGCTGGGACCAAGGACAGCTCCTGGCCATCTGGGGAGCAGGCTCTGCTCTGCCTGGGAGGAGGATGAGGCAGCAGCTCCTGGTGCCCTGGAGGCAGGTGCTCCCTGTCCCCACTGAGCTTCCTGCTCTGTGTCCCCAGGGGCGGCCCCTCAGGGAGGCTGAGCTCCCAGGACCGTCCTGTAAACCGCACAGGAAGCTGGGCAAGGGGAGGGGGCTGTGTGCAGACCTGACACTAAGGTGTGTTGGGGCAGGGACACTGCCCAGCTCCATGGTTTTGGGGGAGGACAAAGTGCACAGTGGGGCCTGCAGGACGCATGGGTGTGTGGGCCCTGGGCAGCAGGGGGCGCTGTGGCCTGTCCCTGAAGCCTGTGCGGTGAGTCCCAGCGGGGAGCCCCACCTGGCCCTGGTCTGGAGCCCTCTGCCCCCTGCTCACTGGGCCAGCAGCTGTGTCCTCACTGGTCCCTGGGGCACCACAGAAAAGCCGTGCCCAGACCCACCCCTCCCAGGGTCAGCTTTCCAGGCAGGGGTCAGAGACAGGGCCCAGGGTGGGGCTGGGACAGCCCAGGGGGTGGCTGGTTTCCCTGAGGGGTCTCTCTCGACCCCTGGGCTGCTGGAGGGGATTTGAGGAGCTTGGGGGCTCAGAGCCCGCTGAGGGTCCTCAGGACACAGGACTGTGGGAGTGTTCACCATGGCCTGGGCCCCTTTG